ACACAAATATGACAGATAACACCTGTATCCACCCACCATTCCATGGGATTTCCAACATTGTTGTATTCTGAAACAATGATCGTCAAATTTATATTTGATACATCATTAGATATTGCATCAGAATCGGTGATATTCACTTGGACTTGTTTCTTAAGTTTACGACAATCAACATATCATGTTCGGTCTTTCTACAATTATAGCAATTGTCCTTGAACTTCTTTGTGTTCTTCTTTGATGGTTCAACATAATGCTTTCTTTTCTTACTTTTGTTATATGATTCCACCATATTAGCCTTAGCTTGTGGTACGACTTTCACACTCTTGTCTGAATTTTGGTTATCTGCTTCAATTCTCAACTGAACAATGAGTTCTTTAATATTCATCTCCTTGCGCTTATGTTTGAGATAATTTTTGAAGTCCTTCCACATGTGTGAAAATTTTTCAATAATCGCAGCCACTTGAAATGATTTACTTACAGACATATTCTTTGCGTGAATGTCATGGAGTATAACCTGCAATTCTTGAACTTGACTAATGATCGTTCTTGAATCTATCATTTTGTATTCTAAGAATTTCCCCATAATGAACTTCTTAGTTCCGGCGTTTTCAGTCTTGTATTTCTTTTTCAATGATTCACATAGTTCATTTGCAGATTTCATGGAACTATACACATTATATAATGTGTTATCCATTCAAAATGTAGTTTTTATATAAGAAGTTAGAATGTTTCCAGCATTCAATGCCATCAATTATGCCCTATTATTTTCCCTTTCTTGTACGACGGTAGCATATTCCTTTAAGAGTTTTGCCAAGTTTAGGGACGTGAGATAGAACAATATTTTCTGCTGCCATATCTTGAAATCAACCCACTAAACTTCTCCGATTTCTCTCCATGTTGAACGGAATTAGTATGACGGTGGGTGGGGGGGCAACCGCAACTGGAGGAATCACAATGGTAGGAGCCATGTTTGGTAATATTCCTTCCGAACTTTATATTTGGTAATGGTAATCGTATTCATTTTTGTTTACACAAAATAGAAGATAAACCAAAATCAAAATTCGAGAAGTAGAAGAAGTTAAACCGAAGCCAAATCAGTTTAAATGAATACAATTTAAAGAATAAAGTTATCACTCAAATGACGGAAAATTCGACTTAAGAATGTTGAAAAAAACATATGATGGATTTCAGTGATGACTTTAAAACAACTTACCAATCTTACCAAAAATAAATTGGACAGAGTAACGGTAGTGGTATGACTAAAAACTCCAAATAAAAGAATGTAACAGCAAACGAAATGTATACAAAGTCGAGGCAAGAGTTGAACTCTTCGTCCTAAAGTCGAATTTGCCCCGCAACGGTGCATACGGATGATGGCAATCGACTCTCAAGATACAACGACAAACTATTTGTGTTAGTTGCACTTTAAAATACAAGAACAATGAACCAAAAATTGATTTTTGTACTCCTTCAAATGAAAAATGGAAAAACAGCTTTTGTATAGAATTTTGGCTAGGAAAATAATGAATTTAATGTTATGCTATGATTGCATATCATTAGGATAAACAAATCATTCCAATGATGTAATTTATAGAGAAAGAAAAGTTGTGCATGAAGTGTCGTGCCCTAAAATCAGCAACTTTTGCCAAGGGTCGCGACATTTGTTGTCGCTAGCCTGTCGCTTGAGCGTCAGTAACAGAGACTCGATCGCTCGCCTGTCGCTATCGTGTCACTCGAGCGACAGTCTCCTCACTTGAGTGCTATGGGAGCAAAGGAATTGGTCAAATTTTGAGCCAGTTTCCTCCCTTTTTCTTTCAACTTTAAACCATAATTTCTCGTTCACTTGGAATTTGTTTGGAGATTCCAAATATACCACGACGATCTACTCGATGACTAAAACAATTTAGTCTATTTATTTCCATAATTTGACTATCGGATCATGTTCGAATATTTGGTCGAAATTGACACGTAAGTCACTTTTCGTGGTTTTATACTTGAATCAATTTCAATACAAATTGCGTGAATTTATCTTCCTATGACCATGAAGAAGATTGGCACCTAAAAAGGTAAGACTTGAATTATAAGCATGATTTAAAAGTATACTATATGATAAATAAAGTGTTAGATTTTTTTAATAATGTCTTGTGACATTAAGTTTATTTTACTAAATATGTCGTGGAAAAGGATGTTCGAAAATGAACTATGTAATCAAATGATCAATAAGGTATAACATGTTAGACTTTAACAGAGATCGAATTGCAATAATTGCTAATGAATTTATTTATTAGAGTCAGCTAGTGAAAAAAGGGGGTGAGGTGAAGTTGGAATTGGACCGCTAACTTGGTGTGTAACTTGCTAGATTAGAAAAGAAAAAAAAAATTAATAGACGAATTTCAATAATTTGGCATCCTCTTTTAGTTAATGTAAACTTTGGCAATGGTACGTACTCTTACTTGACTAATCGAAAAATGTAGGAAAAAGTTGGCAAACTCCAATTTCTAAATGGATGAATCTCATTAAACAATGGAATTTGCACAAAGTGCATGAACCACGAAAAATAAAGATACACAAAGTTAGACATCCTTTGCCAAGTGTGTAATATCCACGATACAATTATTATTATTATTATTATTATTATTATTATTATTAGTTAAATATTAACATCTATAATGGAGGATTGACAAGCTCGTCTGGATGAATATTCTTTATTTTCTTGTGAAAGGGTTTTCTTACAATGGATGTTGTGGATTAAGATTTGAAGTTCCATATCAAAATATCAACCTTAGTAAGTTCAAGCCTTTATATTTATCCCTTAACATGTATCCACAAGATGGTGAAGTAGATCAATTTTGAATTTCGTGTACTCATTTTTAAATATTAATTGCATCAAATGAGCTCTGATGTCATGTTAAGACCTAATATCTCATCTTAAAAGTTCGATCTTATTAAGAGAAATAACTCAAATTTTTGTATATATGTTCATATTTCAATAGTTAATCGACAAAAAAATTATCCTTTTAACCGTTTTCAAATTCAAATACAATCAATAGGGTTTTGTTATGTGAGACACCCCGACGTACACCCCCCTCAAAATAGAGGGGGGCCCAAGAGCAATAAAAAATCGTTAATCCCCTCTATTGTGAGGGGGAGTGTACACTGATATATACATAGCAAAACCTCAACCAATATAGATAGAATCAGACATTAAGGTAAAAGAAATACAAAAAAAAAAGGTGTTTGTTCCCCCTCTGTAATCTTCCACCCATGTCCATGTCCATGTCACCTTGCTAAAAGTCCATGGCAAAGAGGCATCATGACATAGACACAAATCTATTCAAAGTCACGCCAATTGTAACATTCTCTCTCTCTCTCTCTCTACTTACAAATATCATGATTATGTTACTTATACATAAAAATTGTATATAAAAAATTACACAAAATAATGTGAAGGGAAAAGAGTAGATAAAAAAATTGACTGTATTTTAAATTAACAAATCGAAGAGCACCACGTGATATTACGTAACTTTTTATGTAAACCTTAATGTAACAAAATCTCACATACAATAAGTACATAAACGCACAAACACGAGATAAATAGATTTATGACACTTAGATGATCAATTCCCCATCCCTGTGAGATGGGTGTCCTGAGTGTACACCAAGAGCGTACATATGGCTCATATAAATATCAATCATGTTATACTAACAGGTTCAAAAATAGAGGAGACAAGTGTCTATACATGATTGGATAGTTGAAAATAAAGGCTCAAATAGCTGCAGTTGAACCGGTCTATTTTTTTCTGTTTTTTAGTCTGTTCAATTATGTTAAAGATGTTACGACCGACAAAATTGTTGCAGATGAAAGCCTCCTCCCTGTAGAACTTCTACTTTTCCCCCTGTTTATTATTGCATCGGTATAGCGGTGGGGATGGATTGTGAAATTACTATACCACCCTTTAAACGGTGGATTTGGATTTTTTTAGGGTTTTTTATGGGATATTTGAAGTCACCTCCCACTCTAGGCTGATGGGCATGTGTCAAGAAAGGCACAAACTACAGATGCATTTGATTCAAGAAATAACATGTGAAATGACCCAACTATTCTCAAACGTGACTGACCACACAGTGGGAAAGGTCAATAAAAGATTCATAGCAACTTCTTGGAGATTCCCTATAAAATGTCAAAAAGGGTAAAATTGTAAGTTCACAAGATATGGCCAGGTGCAATAAATAAATTAAAGGGAAAGCATGTCACTGTCACAAGACCAAAGCCTAAAACAAGGTACCTGCTGCAAACACACATCAACAAACAGCATACTCTCTCTCTCTCTACCCATCTTTGCTTTTTCAGCAAATACCATCATCATCATCTCTCTCTCTCTCTAGAAATAATGAAAACCTACATTTTTTTACTCTTCCTGTTCCTATATCTCTCTACTCTATGTCCACATTGGTATCTATATTCAGCAGAAAGAGAGGAAAAACAAGAATAACTCCACCCAACTCTCTCTCTCTCTTTCTAATGGCACAGCTGGACCAAAATTTATGTAGAAGAAAGAAAAACGAAAAGATTCAAGTTTTAGAGAGGGATAGACCAAACCCCACCTCACACACAACCAAAAAAAAAAAAGCAGGATTGGTTGCCACAAATGCCCTTCTGCAACCCCTTCAAAAATCCCCATCTTCATCGTCAACTTCACTGTCTTCTAAAGAAACAATGTTTTATTATTTTTGCCACAATTCATGTGGGCTTTTTGGGCCTTTAATTCGTTGTCTTGGTCAGAGTTTTTTCACAGAGAAAACAGGAAAGCAAACAAGGAACCTTCCCACTTCCCCTATATTTTTCCTCTCTCTGTCATTTCTTTCTGCTGTATTTATCTTTACAATCCTTTCTTTATTTCTTCTCCACCGCTCTTCCATATTCATCCTTATCGCCTTATTAATTTCCTTTTATACAAGATTCAGAGTTCTTGTGGGAACGGCTTTTTGTATTCTGTGATCTGATGTTGCCGTCTAAGAAGATGAAAGGGGTTTCTTTGGATTCGACACCATCTTATATTGTTGGTCAATATGAGGATGATAAGGCATGGTTGAAGCATCAGAGTCTCTTGCAAGACTATGAGGAGCTACAAAAGGTTTCTTGGTTAAGGATCTGAAGTTTTCTCTGATCATTGGTTTCTTGGCTTTTTTATGACTGTTCTGGGGTGATTTTTAATGATTTTGCTGCTGTTTAGTGATGTTTTCTGGGGGCTGTCTGATTTTTGTTCAATCTATTGCTTATCGATTATCCTCATGATGTTTCTTGGGATTTTATGATTTGTATTTGTTCTATATTTTTTTTTTTGAAAACAAATCTTGATCTTTTCTTGCAAGATCTTCTCTTTCTCGGTGAAGGTTATCGTGATTTGCCGAGTAATTCTCACTGTCTTCTTGTATAATAATTTAGGATTTTCAAATCATAATCTGGTTTTATTTGTATTTTTAATATTATATTATATATTTCATGAATTAGGAGGTTCTCAGTCAACTATTAAGGTCTCTCCCAGTATATGGATTATGATGCTAGATCTACATATTTTCCCCCTAATAACATTCTTGTATGTTTGTAATTCTTCTTCTAATATATTGGTACTTTTCCCTAAGATGGTGCCTTCTTTACTTGGCTATTCGATGAATCGAACGCGTATTTGTATTAATATTTGCTACTTCTCTGTTGTATTATAGTCCTCTTCAGTTACTGGCAAGCTAGTTTACAATCAAAATTGTTTTTCAGGAATCCAATGGGATGAGAAACAAACTGCAGAATGCGAAACAGAGGAGGCAGATACTGGCAGCTGAAGTTCGGTATGCAATTTTGTGTTATGAAGATGTGTTTACTAATGATTTACAGTCATTAATTGTTTAATTTGTATAGTTATAACCAATTCTCCCATTTAATATTGAAATTGTACAGATTTTAATTTACCTACTCCTTGGAATAATCCAAATATGTACGCATGGAAAGGGAGTAGAGTTTAAGTGGTTCAAAGTATTTCCCACCATTATTTTTAAATAGTACTAATGGTTGTTGATAATTAAATAAGGGTAAACTAGGAAAATTCTTTGTAAAAATTGATTTTTCAGTAACATTAAAAGAAATTTCTTAATCCGTGTGAAAAAAAAATCAGCCTATATAAATGGGATGGAGGGAGGGAATAGTTTATTTCCCAAAACATGGAATCTATATTCATGTGAAAACTATAATTGGATCAATCTCTGGTGCTTCTTATAGCTGGTAGTTTGCTTGCCTATTTGGATTTGGGAGGAATTGTGGTTTTATTTTATATGGCAACAATTATGGTAAAGTAATGCTTGCTTATACTTGTCCATGAACGAACTGTGATAATTTTTTTTGTTTTTTTGGTGGTGTAGTAATGCTTGCATATATTTGTGCAGTTGGTCACTTCATGTTGTTTTAATGATTAGTAGCTAATTGGGCTCATTATTTCTTAGATTTTTGCGGAAGAGACACAAGTATCTTCTTGAAACGAAGTTTTTGAATTCATCACTAGAACAGCAACTTGTACAACCACCACCATATGCGGTAAACCATATTACAAAGAAAAAGAAGGATCAAATGATCAGCAGAAAAGTTACCACTCCGAATAAAATTTCCCAAGTTCCAGACTCCAAACCTAAGAGGAAACAGATTGGAAAGGAAGCTGCTGCTCGTTCTGCGTCACCAGTTATTAATATTGAGCGTAAGCAAAAATTACGTGGTAAAAAGCAAGATTCTCAATGCGCTTTAAATCCAAATTCTGATATGAACAAGAGAGAAAGGATAAATATTCGAAAAGAAACTTTAATGCGAAATAAGTCACTGGTCATTGATTTGAATGAGGGGGAAAGAATATGTGGTGCAAATGATACTGGTCTGAGGAACTCAGTTGCAGCGTTTGATTTGAACCAGGACAGTAGTGGGAAAGAAACTCGTTTGCCAAGTCGAGCTCCAATCTTCGACTTAAATGAAATTTCGGTAGGCTCCTGAATTCATCTTGTTATAAACTACAAATTTTCAATTATTGTGTTGTAACGGTTTGTTCTTCAACAGACAGGGGACGAAGATTTTCAGAGTAATTATGAACCCTTAAAGCTAGATGATGCGAGGAAAGGTTTGATTAGAGGTTTACATGATGAACAGCATAATGACTTGAAATTATCAGCGTGTAGAAACGCTGGGGAGGGTTCGACCCGGGTTGGTAAGCGGAAAATTTCATGGCAGGACCCAGTTGCATTGAGAGTTTGAGTTTCAAGGCTCGACCGATGGACATTTGGGAGGCTGATGAAATTTCGGTACTTCTCCAAGTCGGTTGCTACTTGCCAGTTTTTAATTGCATCTTGTCTGTAGTTTTAATGTAATTCCTTATGTAGAGCAATACTTAGTTCTTTATATTCAGCATACTTGACATGTTGGAAACAATTGACACGTATATATATAGTTTAGTATATAAGTATATTTGCCTTGTTGAACTAGTTATCTTTTCGGCCCGCCCTTCGCAATGGAGAAAAGCATGAAAATGGAATATTAGCATTCCTTGTCTTGTCGCGTAGTTGGAATCCAGTCATTATTTTGCATTGGATTTTGCCTTGGAGAAAAGTACGTACTTCATATGAAAAATGCCTGCGATATGTGAGAGGGATGCAAGAGCTTCGGCGTAATTATGCCCTTGTAAACTTCTTGTCTCTGTAAGTCTGCATCGGTTGTAGGCCATATCACTTTGCAACTGGAAATTTCTTGGTGAATAGTTGCAGGTGGAAGTGGAAAGCAAACTTACTCTAATCGCCATGGGACAATTATTGTTACAAATGGGCTACAGCATAAATTTTACATTCTTATTACTTGATGTCCCACAATGGTAGGGATAGCTAAACTGTGGAACAATAAAGCGAGGCAAAATGGTAAAGTTTGATGGATTCTAGTGAAATATTTTAGCAAAAATATAAGCATTGCAAAATTTACACATCAAAAATTTTGATGCTCCTAAGAGTCCAATACCTGTAATCACACAATTGCCAACTTCATTAAATCATTTCAACAAGAATAGTCATATTCTCTAGAAGTCTCACAGAGATTAAATTTTTGATTAAGTCTGGACGTTCTATGAAACATACTACTGATTACAAGAAAATTTACCACTCAAACTTGGGCGAGATGGAACCAAGGAAATATTAGTTTTTCAATCCACGTGGTCTAACAGCTCAACTTAGGAATCAAAATATCCCATCATCTTACGCCTCCAATTCATCATCGAGCTGGTTATGGTCTGGCTTGACTGCATTAATGGCCTCGCTAAATTCTGGCTCAGCTGCATCATCGGCCTTGTTATCTTCTGGCTTGGCTGCAACCACGGCCTCACTGAATTCCGGCTTCACTATATTATCAGCCTCGTTATCATCTGGCTTGGCTGCATCCATTGCCACGTGATATTCTGTCTGGAGTGCATCATCGGCCTCGTTATCATCTGGCTTGGCTGCATTCATGGCCTCAGTATATTCTGCCTGGACTGGATCATTGTCCTTGTTAATTACTGGCTTGGTTGCATCAATAGTCACATTATATTCTTGCTCGACAACATCACTGTTCTCGATATCATCTACCTTGGCTGCACTCATGGCCCCTTCACCTTCAGGCTTGGCTGCTTCCATGGTCTTGTGATCTTCTGAATTGGCTATATCGATGGTCATGTAATTCTCTGAGCTCACTACATCCACGGCCTTGCCAACATTTTCCATTGTTGTGTTCTTTCCATCACCAGCAACCCATTCTGAATCATTAACTCGTACTATAGCCTTCTTCTGGTTGGACAGGTCAGCTCCATTTTGATCAAATTCCTGAAGTCGTTTCCCATGTTTCTTCCCTTTCTTATGAGCGTTCATGACACTTCGAGAGAAGGCTCCTACCTGGCACATTTCACACCAAAATTTATAATTTTTTTTCTTGCTGTTTCCATCCTTCTGCATTTCTTGAACTTCCAATTGGTGATTCTTTAAGTTGTCAAGTTTTTGGTTTTCCTGCAATAGTGGCATATTATTTTTCTCTAAGCTCATCTCCCCCATCTTATTGAGGTCCATAGATTGAGTTGCAGATTTCACTCCCCCTGAACCTAGATTTTTAGTTCCTCCAACGGTGACTGGCATGGAAGCTTTCTTTGGAAAAAGACCAATGTTATAGTTTTTGCCAGCCCTCTGAGCTTTCAATGCAGCCTCTTTGGACTTGTGTTTCTTTCCCTGCACGTGGTCCTTCAGGGCTCGCTCGCTGGTGGCACTAACCTGACAGAGAGCACAACTCCACTCTTCTTTAGCTTTCTTCCTTGAGACAGCAGCTGATGGAAGCACACCATCATCTACTACAGATGATGTTACAGCCTTTCTCTTCTCTCTAAGTATACATTCATGGGGTTTGGCCTACAAAACTCAAAAAAGTCCACCATGTGAGTGAAAATACCAAAAACCCTCCCACCTTTTCTAATCCAACTACCCACCCCCCAAAACCCACCCCACACACCCAATTCCTAACCAAACGCGATAAGAAGGGGAACAAACAGAACAAATAAAAAAATATCTTACCGCTAGAGCTAAATAATTCTCCTGAAGAAGTACGGAGTTTATCGCCTACCAGTAACCAAGGATAGCATGCAGAAAGCTAAAGATAGGAGAGATGTAAATAAGGATTTTTTTGTTGAAGGTGGACGGCTACCACTGTGTTACCTATTATTATCATGATAAAAGTAGGAAAAATGGAGTACTTGCATGTTTGAAAGACGTGATAGAAATAAAAAATATGCTGGGTGTTTATAATTCAGACTGCAGACACAGCTTTCAGTACTACATAGAATCCAGCAGCTTAATAAACTCACCACTTAAATTTATGTTGTCCTTATTCAGAACTCAGTTTTATCAAACACCCCCTTAGACAATATCTTCCAAATAAAAAAATTTCTATTGCGTATTGTGCATTATTAATAACAAACTAGCCAGTTCCACAATACACAAAAACAAATTGAAAGGTGTTAGAATTTTGGCAGTCAAAACATTTGATACGCCAAAGAAAATTTTCAAGTTTCACTGATGTATACAAACTTGCCAATGACAGCAAATAAAAAAATAGTGAACTACAATAAGATGATGACACCATAAAGGATTGTTCGGCCTTCAGTTTCCAAACTCATATTCTTCTAATGATAGTCCTTAAAAGGCAAAGCCATAACCAAAAGGATTAAAAAGTTGAAGGCTAATTCTAAAGGACCTATGACTTCAGACATTGATTAGGCAACAAAAATAAACTTATCTTGTTAAATCAGTTGTGTATTATTTAATGATTTTGAGATGATTACTCTATCCTTTCAATTAAAGAGACATTCTCGGAAAATTTAGTTATTTATAATCAGTTTGGTCTTTGGAGTATAATATCCTCAAAGGAAAAGATTTATGATTATTTACAGACTAAAACGTAGTAAGCTACAACTATTCTAGGATTAATGACCATAAACACTTTTACCAAAGCCTTCATCCACATGCAGATTGTAATAAAATAGGAACTCAACACTTCTATTCAGTCTCAAAAAATTCTTTTTTCTTTTCATGGGTGGAGAATTGAAAGTAAAACAATTTCATCGTACTCAAGGCCACCAAATTAAAGTCACACATGCAAGAAAAAACACGTGGAATGGGAACAAGGAACAAGTACTAACCAGCAAAACTACTTTCTCTTTCTCTATTCCCCTCTCTGAAACAGACTTAACTTCTGAAATTCTCGGTTCCATAATACATCTTTGAAATGGCAGGGCCTCAATATCTCCATTCTCATGCCTTATATTCAGCCTCTCCTTTTCCTCGTGTGGCATTGCAACCCTCTCCTCTAGAGACCTTCCCTCACTTCTCATCCCCAAAAGTGGAAACCTAATTGTTGAGTTATACCCAACTCCCGATGATGGGCCAAATGGAAACCCATCTTCCCCCCTTCGCTGAGCCAATTCTCTCTCCATCATCAGCTCCCTCCTCACCTCAGCTTCCAATACACGCCTCCTTGCAATTTCCGATATTATCATCTCCTCCCTAATACGTTGCTTTTCAATCTCTCTCAGAATTGATTCATGCAAGTCGTGAGATTGAAGCAGAGGATGATGGTGCGGCTGAGGGTTAGCATGGGAATGAGGTTGAAGTTGACTATGGTCTTGCAAGTACTCACGATGGCGCGGCTGAGGGTGAGCATGGGATTGAGGTTGAAGTTGACTATGGTCTTGAAAGTACTCGCGATGAAAATGCCCTGCGTATGAGCCCATATGGCCAGCTGAAACTACAGAAAGTAAAATCAGAAAAACCCAAGATAAAAAGTAATCCAAACTTGATCGATAGACATGGAAAAAACAATAAGTATATATGGGAACTTTATCTTTCCAACATAAATACACAGCATGAGATTCTTTCTTTTCTAGTTCTCTTTCACAAAAACTTTATGCATAGCTTTGTTCAAATTTCGTTAGTGGAAAGTAAGGTTGTATGTCATAAAGAAACAGCAGTTCATCTACATCTTATCTATAAAATTTTATCGCACCTTTTAAACCCACGCTTGCACAATATTTTACTTTGCAACTGAACGAAACAAAAAAATATCAAAAGGTAGCAGCAGATCAGAAAAATTGAAGAATATAAAATAAATCAAATTCATCTCTATTTCCCGATGGGGAAAAAAACTACTAAATTTATAAATAACCCAAACTTGATCTCTGTATATCACTGTGTGCCTTGTGACAGTGAAAAAGATGCAGAAAAAATTAGCAGAAGAAAAAAAAAAAGGATGAATTGTTTATGACCCAAAAAAATTGCACTCAGTTAAAATCCACAATGCGGCTTAAATTCCATTCATATCCAAACACGATTTACTTGCATGCATATATGTACAGAAGAAGAACTTGAAAATTCAAAGAGTAAAAGATTAAAAATTCACATACCTCGAAGAGCTGGTTCTGGAAAATAATTGTAACCCGATGATTGATTTGGGGCTTTTTGATCAGTTGATCGATTCTTGTACTCCATTCAAGATTGAAGTATTTCTACGAGGATATAGAATATAAGATTATTAGTTTTGTTTCGGTAGGGATTTCAATTTTTTAGGGTTCTGCAATTGGTCTCGATTTTCCGAGTGGAGACAAGAGTTTCAATTCGAGTACAGGGATCAGTGTAAGAACACGCTCCATTATGGGTCGTGCAGCACGTCGTAGTACACTCTTCTTTGGTGTGTTATTT